TGAGTTGACTTACTGACATTTGGAACTTATTTTTGGCATGCTAGTTTAAATCTATCATGACAAAACATGGGGAGAAGAATAGCATTGTTCTAGGTACGTCAGACAGGATTCTGCCTAGAAGAGTGGAAGGAGTGGCAGAGTGACAGGTGCTACAAAGCTCCAGAGAAAACTGCATGATCTAAGGTGGTAGAAAGTCAGAGCCTAGAAAAGGAAGCTAAAGCCGATTACACATTGTTATCTGTAACTTGGGTATGATGAATCTTCAGGACTGCCTGGTTGTGAAAAATCCACGGTCCAGAGACTACATGAGTGTATAAACCATAACAAGTCAGGGCTCAGCGACAGAACTCTAAGAGGGGGATTCTAGGTTTATGGTAACTCCACATCCAAATTCCAACAGCTTCTGACTTGTTATTGAGATTGAGTATACGTATTCATGTACGGCCATGAGCGTTAATTCTGAATTTAAAACAAAATGTAGCTCTTATATTAATATAGAACTAAAGGGTCTGTGAGCCAGATAACTCCAAATCTGTTTTTTGGTAGGAGATCTAAGAGAAAGAAAAGGGATGGATACTCTTTTCCTTAGCACCTGTATTTCTAGAAGTTTTCTGTGGAGATTTTGAATCAATGCTTATTGGCTATTGTCACCTAGATACATAAGGCACTGCTTCTTACCTCTACATCCAGCCAAATTTCATTATCAGGAATATTGGGACAGGCATCCATACTCCCTTTTTTGTAACCTGTTCATTCAAGCTCAATTTCGAGGTATATGTGTCTCTCTTCCTTTAAAGCAGCTGGCCCTGGAGAAGATCCTCTGGGCCTCCAAGTCTTAAGACAGAGCAGAACCAACTTGGCTAGCTCAAAATGAGATTCCCATTTCCTGATTTCCAAAGCTGTTTGACTTGTTATTAAGTAAACAGCGCAATGTCCACTATCAGTTTTGTACAAAAGATCCTAAAATATTTTTTGCACTTACGTTGTTTTAAGAGATGGCAGAAAGTGCAAATTGTTGTTTTTTTACCTTTGGCATTTTTTTAAAGGAAAAAGGCCACAGACAAGAAGAGAATGCACATTTAGAAATTGGCAATTGATTTTTTGGGGATGGGGATATTCTTTTATTTGGCATTCACAATTCTCAAATTATGAGGACAGAAAATAGAAGAGCTGTTTGTGAACTTTTGGGATGCAGTGGAGGTAGAAACAGCTTCAGCTCATACATTACTTCTCAGTTGAATGCTGGAAGTAGGGAGAAAAAGGGAAATTCAAGGTTAATGCAGCCATGCCAAAACTTAAAACAGAGGTTGTCCAAGGAGATCAACGGTTGTCCATGTAGACTCTGTACTACCACATCAAGTCAGCTTGAAAGCCACAGTGATAAATGGAGAGTCCCTGTACTGAGGATCACAGTGTTAGGGACGAAATGCTTGTGCACCCCTATAGATCGTTGGTTGAAGCCCCAGTGTGATGGTATCTGGAGATGGGACCTCTGGAAGATAATTCGTTTAGCATGAAAGTGGGACCCCATGGTGGGATTAATATCCTTATTAGAAGGGAGAACAGAGAACTTTCTCTCTGCCATGTTAGGCCTGCAATCCCCACCAAGAACTGAATGTGTTGGCACCTTTATCTTAGACTTTCCAGTTTCCTTAACTGTGAAAAATGAATTTATTAGGTTTCTCAAAATATAGGAGCAGCTTTGGAAGTGGGTAACATGTAGAGGCTAGAGTTATGAGGTACATGCTAGAAATAGAGACATTACAGGCAATTCTGTGGAAGGCTCAAGAAAGGAGGAGCGCTGTGGAGACCAATCCCTTCTTCTTAGAGAACACTTCATCACGAACAGAATGTAAGTAGAAATGTGGATGCCAAGGTCATTCTGGGAAGGTCTGAGACAGAAAAGAGGAACCTGTTACTGCAAACACAAAAGACAATCATCATCATTATTATAAAGTAGTAAAGAATGTGGATAAATTGTGTTTGAGTATTTTGTGGAAGGTAGAACTTGCAGTTGAAGAAATTGAATATTTAGCTGAGATTTCTAGGCAAAGTATTAGAGGAATGGTTTGGTTCCACCTGACTGCTTGTACAGATGGCTCCCAACTTACATGGTTCCACTTACAAGGTTTTGACCTTGACTTTTTGATGTGAAAGCTATATGCCTTTAGTAGAATGTGTACTTTAAATCTGGATCTTTTCCCATGCTAGCAAATTTGATGCAGTGAGTTGCAACTCTTAGTCACACAAACTCAAAGGCAAACAATTGATACTACACAGTATGCTGAATGACTAAGCTGTGATGTCAGTAGGCTAGATGTATTAAATGCATTTTTGACTTATATTTTCAGGTTATGATGGGTTTATCAGAGTAATCGTAACAAGTTGAGGAGCATCTGCATAGTAAAATGTGAGAAAAGAGAAATAACTTCAAGCCTGAATTATTAAGCAAAAAGAACCAGGAGCTAGAGATTTTGATAAGCCAGGTGTGGTGGTGCTTGCCTATAATCCTAGCACTCGGGAGGCTGAGGCAGAAGGATTGAGTTTGAGGGCAGCCTGGGTACAGGGTGAGACCCTCAAAATACCCCCCCCCAAAATCTCTCCAAAATGAAAAGATTTTGAAAATTCTCAGCCTCTTCATATGCAAAAAATAAGAAAACAAATTCAGAGACAACAGTTGTGTGGCTATCCAACCATTTCATGTGGAAACCAGTGAGCGTGAACCACAGTCCTAAAATCAGTCTTCCAACAAAAGCCAGGAACAGAGATGGGATACCAGCAACAACAATGTAAGTTAGCACTAAGAGAAACAGAAAACAAGACAGAACAAAGGAAGGCTGCAAACACGAGTCATGCTTTGAGAAAAAGTAAGAAGGACCCCAAAGGCAATCTGGACATCACCAGAGCTGCTTCTCTGCAGGTGCATAGGGCAACAGCCAAGGGCAAGGCTGCCTCCTACTGTTTTCAAGGGTAGGACCTATTCCTGGCAGAACCCTGTGTGCAGTCTCTGGAGTTGACGGAGAAGCCAAAGGGGCAGGGCCACCCTGCTGAGCTGTGGGGTGACTCTGCCACCCCAGTGGGTCTGCTGCCCCAGTGGGATTGGAGCATCAAACCCCAAAGGATTTGGATTTGCAAGCCATGAGATTTAAATTCGGCACAGGTATAAGGGAGCTGACAGGAAAGACAGGCCAGGTTTTTGACAGTAAAGCTCCCTTGGGGAACAGTGTGGGGAGCACGCAGCAGCCAGAGCCATGTGGTAGTGATTTAGAGGGCAGAGGAAGGTGATTCTGAAGATGAGAAGGGACTTCCAAAACCTTGGATGAGGGCTGCACTCTCCACCAAGGGCTGTGGGGCTGGGAGCCACAGCAGGTAAAGGCTTGTCTCAGACAACTATGTGATGGTATCCAGGAGATATTTTGATACCAATCTCTACTTGTTTGGCAAAATATGTTAGGAAAATGACCCAAATGTGAGAGGGGAGGGAAAAACAAAACCAAAACAACCAGGTAGCCAACCTTTCATTTGAGAGAAAATGCTGTTTTAATTAGGACTAACTGTAAGGCCTTAAATTCACATACATTATTTATGCCGTTACTTTTCAAAGAGGAAAGAGGTAATCCAATCTGTTCATTGGGTCTGAAAGGATTTTAACAAGGCTTTGCTAAAACTTTATAGAAAAATAATTCAATGTCACATCCTTGGCGTATCAGCCGAGAATGAAGGACTGAGACTCTCTTCTGTCCATGGTCCCGTGAGTAGGCTTAGTATGCCTGCCCTTGTCACCAGGTCTCAGGGGTCACATTTGGCCCCAGAGCACCTTCCCCCGGGACTGCAGCACATGTCAGGTTTGGCACATATTTTAAATTCTATTTTACTTTCATATTTACAAATTCAGGAGGCCTTTTTGAAAAAAGGCAGGCTGAGGCTGCCTTTTAAAAAGGCCTGGCTCACTCCTCGTAGTCCTAGGCTCGTCGGCACCGTGCAGATGTGAGTGCAAGGGACTCTCGGGGTAGCTGTCCCTTCCCCTCTCCACAGCCCTTGTTGAAGGATGGCATCTGTGGCTTGCTCCTTACCAGGCCGGCCCCACTGCCTGGAAGATGCATTACTGGAGGCTGCCTTGGCTTAGGATTTTATTGCTGGTGAAGTTGATTATTTGACTTCTAGCCATTTAGTCCAGAATGGTGGCGTGATCAGAGAGGAGTCTGAGGTGGCCATTCTGCTGAGATGAAAGGATGCTGAAATGTGTAAACAGCACTGAATTCTGTGGTGTGGCACCCACTTGTCTTCAGCCCCAGTGTTTAGTTTCTTCTCGGTTGGTCCATCAGACTGAAAATGTTTCATCTTTTTTCCCCTCTGAGGAGAGTGAAGGCCTGTGGAGGAGATAGATGGAGAACTGCCTGCTGCCTACTGGAATGGGACAAAGATGAGAGACACATGAGTCAGGAGGGTGTGCCCTAATCCACAACAGCCTGAGCTCCCGGCCCAGCCAGCTTTTCCTTTCTTATGCCATATCTCTTTTAAGACTCCCAAGATGTTCCCCTTCTCAGGAGGAAAGAACATTTACTCCCCTCTTTCCAAAACTCCATATCTTACCCTAAATGAGACAGGTGCTTGACAGGGCAGAGACTCTGAAACATTGGCTAGCATGAGTATCATTGCACAGGCATGAGTTCTGAAAGAACTCACTACTGTGGTCACTACTGAATGTCACAGGAACTCAATGGTCACAGAAAGTATGCTTTGCTTCCATGGTTACAGTAACAATAAGAAGAGATGTCATTTTATGACTCAGATTGATCCTGCATGGGCCTTGGTGACTTTTGTAGCTCCTCAGCTTCACCATCCCTCTTAAAAGTGCTGCAATTGATCGGTTACAGGTGACAGCACCCCAACCTGTCAGGAGACCTGCGGTGCAACTGCCAATTTGGCAACTGAAGGATGCAGCTGCTAACGCTGTGCCATGTTTCCTCCTGGTCTGTCCAACAGACTGAAAATGGTTTTTCTCCCCTCTGAGGAAAAAGGCCAGTGGTGTCCTGATGACACACATGCAGGGGCTGGGTGGGGCCCTCAGTACATTTTACATCCAAGCAAAGCAGACATAGTCAGGTACAGCACCATCTGCTCACAGGACCATGGAAGATCTTGGAGATCTGAAAGAGGGCTGTGACAGAGCAAGTGTCATTTCTGTGCTCAGATCTCCTCTTGGTTAGCCCCTGAACTAGCAAAGATAACTGGAGTCATAGGTCCTGTGCATTAATTTAGCAAAAAATCTGGTTTCTGATACCCAAATAGTTTAAAGTCCCCTTTGAAGCGGGCATATAGGCGTCGGATGTCTCGTTTACTGATGCCCAGAAAGTAGTGCTCCACCTTGGTCCTGTTATACACGGTAATGCCCGGAGGGATGGTCGGATATGACACGAGGTGGTCGATGCCAGCTTCTCTCAGGATGTATGGGGCATCCTCCTCTAGGGTCTCGTGGTGTCCAATCACACTGTACTTTATCTCACAAGGTGCACAGAGCTCTGCATACGTCACCCAGTGGATGATGTGGTCCCCAAACTGAATGTCTAGCCATCTGTGGTTTGGGTCACCCAGGTAGCGCACAAAATCCTCAAACTGGATCCCCCGGGTCTCTGTCCGGTTTCTCCTGTACTTCTTGATGATGCCAGGTGCAATCTCATGCCTGTACCAAGGTTCAAACCGAGGATTGTGAACAAACTTGTCCTTAAATGCAGAAATCAGTCTTTCGAAGGGATCTCTTACAATAAAAAACTTGAAGTATGTTTTCAATCTAAGGAAAAAAAAAAGCAAACAGGAAGTTAACTTAAGCTCCTGGAGGCAGGAGCCTAAGAAGCCTAATGGTTGAGAGGATGGAGAGGGAAGAATGACAGGGGACGAGCCCTGCTGTGAATGCATCCCATGCGTGTTTTCCTTATCTACTCCAAGATTCTCTGCCCTGACCGCATTACCAGCCCATTTTACAGGGGAGGAAATGTAAGCTTGGAAAACTCAACTTCCAAGGTCACAACACTCATGCTGAGCGATTGCTGTGAAGACTCTATTTAATCAATTTTTGCTTTTGAATTAATTCAGAACCTTAAAGGTTTGAGAACCTTTAAGTTTTAATCCTGGGCAGAAAATCACCAGGGCTAGAACTGTAAGAGTCAGGATTAACCAAGGTCAGAGAAAATTACTTCAAGGGTATAGCTTTAAAAATTCAATTCAAAATTGCCAGGGGGGAAGAAAAATAAGAGGGCAGAGGATAGAGACAAAATAGAACTTGAAGCTGCACACTCCAGCTGGTAGGAAGGTGGGCTGGAGAGCTGCCAAGAGTGGCTGTAGCAGAGCAGGAGCACTGGAGTGAAGGGCCTGTGGCAGTGACGATGATGACAAAGATGATGACAATACTGTATTTATGACAACACTGCATTTACAGTATGCTTACACATGCCAGAAACTCTTTCCTCAATGGGCTTGTCTTAATTCAGGAGCCTCACAAAAGCCCGTAAAGTAAGTAAGGGTGAAAACAGGACAGTCCACACCCAGAGGTGTTTTGGCAGGGGTTTGACAGCCAGGAAGGTGAATTAGCTCAGGGCAGGAGCAAGGCAGGGCAAGTGGCTATAGAGTTATAGGAGGGCAATGCTCAGCTGGCAGCCTGACTTTAGCTGCTGCTAACGCTGGCAGCCTGACTTTAGCTGCTGCTAACACACTCTGATTCCTTTACACCTGGCTCTGTGGGGCCACTTCAGAGCTAACATGCGAGAATTTTTCCACTCATTGCTGCAATCAGGGAAGTCTGTCCTGCCTGCTCTGGGTCCAGAGCACATCACCTCAGGGGGAAGCTCCTGTAGAAGCAGGCACACACCTCTGGGAAAAAATCAGGCACTGGTGGGGTTCCTTACAACCCAAATCCCTTTCTTACGAATAAAGATCGTATTTAGTAAGGAATCCACAAAACTTAACAAAAAGTGACCACTCTTTTCTATCAATATTACATAAACTTTAGTGGACTTCATGACAGGAAGGCTGGAAAAGACATTCCAAAATTCTCACAAAGGTTAGGGAGTTTCCAGGCACAGAATCCTGCTTATAGATTGGGAGGCTGCTCAACAACACAAACCAGCAGTCCCCCGTCCTTGGGGAGATGAGAATATTCAGCAAATATGACCTAAGCCGAGGCTTTCTTCTCAGGCCTTCAAAATTGCCTCTCCCCTTTGAGGAAACTGTTCTTACCGCTTCTGAATTCCTGCCTTGCTGAAGGAGGAGAGACGAGGGAGGCCATTCTTCTCATGGTCATGAACCACATTCTCGGGGATTTCCTCGATGGAAGGGAATGCTCCTGGGAAGGAAGAGAGAAGATGTGTTGGCTATCTCCATGTGACCCTTAAAGAGAAGTACCCATTTGTCTCATCTTCAGCCCCATGTTCCCCATGGCACATATGATAAGCCCACTCCCAATATTCAAGTTTATGTCCTTGGATGGTCAGGATAAGAAAGTGAGGGAAAGTTTTTTGTAATCAATAAGGCAAGTGGAGGAGAGAGACGGCTGCGGGGGAGAAAGAGAGACATATACTGACTGTGCATCCCTGGCGCTATGTTGGACAAAATCTTCCCACAGAAAGCTCAGAGCATGCAACTGAATTCCTACCACCAGCAGTAGTTATTCTACTCTGAGACTGGGGAGAAATGTAAGAGGAGCAGGATGCAAAAGGCAGCGCCCACGCCTCCCCACAGTACCATCAGTGCCCTGGCAGGCTGTGCTCTCTGACACCAAACCTCAGACCTATGGTAGCTCTCAGACAACCTCACAGCAGCCCACATTGGCAAAGGAGTTTGATGCTAGAAAAATCTGGTAGAAGTTATGGAAGCTGCAATCCATTTGGAACAGGAGTTGAAGGAGGACAGCTGTGTCTGAGGAGGTAGAGCAGTGTCAACAGCCACTATCTGTCCTTAGGGTTGGTGATCATGAATCTGAGAAGGATTCAGCCACACTTCTGTAAATTTTAACATCTAACTTCATACTAATCCTATCCTGTCAAACTCTGAGTCCAGGAAAGAAGAAGCTCTCACGAGTCATCTAAGAAGTGGCCACAGCCTTGACTGTCCTATTCATTCCTTCCTCCCCCAAATATTTAAGGCCCAGTCCAGAACTTGGTGCATCCATACTTGGTGTGGATGACTGTAAATGAGCAAGGTGAAAGTCAGCTCTTGAGGGGACCACAGAAGAACCAGTTCTGTGGATCTGCACCTGGGTCCCTCATGCCTGTCCCTGTCCAGATGCATCAGTGACGACTGAGGACAGCCATCAAGACCAATTGCCTGTGTTTTATTATATGAACTGGCAAGTCCACTCCTCTATTTTTTTCCTTTGGTTTCTTTTCATTTTTTAAGGAATGAATATGAAACAGATTACATAAACCCATGGTGTTTTTACAAGTAAATAAGCTAAAGACTACTGAGATTAAACTACTAAATGAAACAAATTGGACAATAAATTTCCTCTCAAAATCAGTTTAATTTTGTTCTTACCAAATTTTTTACTGTGTCTGATATTGAGGTCAAGGGTAGTTCTTTTTCTTAATTTTAATTAATTTGTAACTGAGACATGAAAACATAAAAGCAATACATATTAATGGGTTAGTGAGGTGTTTCAATACAGTACCTCGTGGCCCTTGTAAGTAGGTGCTAACTTCTTTAGGTTACAATGCTTCACAATGCCTTGTCTGATTTGTGAGCCTTTTTGTACAGTCCTTGTTTTCAATTTGATTTGTGACTTACTACCCAATTAAAACATCTAAGATACTGCCACATTACTCCTAAAGCACATTAATTGTACATCCAATGGTGGGAAGATGAGGTTTTACCCTATCTCCGTCAACCAAACTGTGAAAGAATAAATGCTTGCCAACAATCACCAGTGACTGAGAGAACCCCCATGCCACCCACTCTTGTGCCCAGGATCTCATTCCTGACTAGGAGTCTCAGGGCTGTTAGTTGAAACTAAGTTCTTTTTGAAGCTGAATTTAACAGAGCCCATAATCATCTTGAATAACCAGAATTTACACAAACTGGATGTTTGAAAGAAACATTGAGGGGGCAGGGGGAAGAAATGGCCCAAACAATATATGCACATATGAATAAATAAAATTAAATAAGAAAAGGAACAGTGAGTAATCAAAACTTCAGTGAATAAACTCACTTTTCTATGATCTCATTTGTTCCCCAGTAAATATCTGATTTCCTGAAGCACTCTAACTCAATCCTCTGACTACAGACACTTGGCAGAAAGTAAGCTGCAATTTCTTTCTATCCAACTGGGGCAGAACACTTGGTCTGCAGGTGAGGAGGTACCAAGGCTCATGAGGTAGGGCTCCTTTTCCAGGCCCTGGGGTGTGGGCTCTTCCTACTAGAGAGGGCACCATGAGGATGTAGCTCAGTTAGAGCACTTGTCTAGCAATCTCTAGATTGGGTTCAATCTCTAGTATAAGAGGGAAGGGGAGGAGAGGGGAGGGGAGGAAGGGGAGAAGAAGGAAGGAAGGAAGGAAAAGAAATCTACCTCATCAGTTTTTATAGCACAACACTAATGGGAAAAATAACAGAGAACCTTCTGGAAGGTTTCCAGTAGTTTCAGGAGAGCCTACTGCCTCCCTTGCCCAGGTAAACCCTTCACATCACAGATGACATTCATCATTTAGGACGCACCATTTAGGACTATCAGTACTTTCTTCCACTGGGTGTTGCCCACTTTGGGAGTCTGGCAGAAAAGAATCTGGTGCTTGTCACAGACAAATATACGGTCTAGGACAAACTTGGAGACCACAGTGTGTGAGAGATTCTTCAGGGCCTCATCCCTACAGACATTTCTGATAAGCTCCAGCCGCTCCAGATAGATCAGGGGTTGATCAAGCCGGCTGTCTGGAAGCATCTTTCCTGTTGGCTGCAAGTCACAAGGGGGAAAATAGGCACAAAAGATCATCAGTAGGAAACAGGCCAGACCTGAGCCAGACTCTAACCATCCACAGAACCCTTCTCCTCCCCTTCTCCTTCTAGAGTGACAACCACCACTTCCAACCACCTCCTCAGCCCTTTCTCTGGGGCTTTCTACTGCCCTGATGAGTAATGGGAATGACTGACACAGGTGGCCAAGAAAATGGATGCCCACTCAGTTCCTGTGACTTTCCTTCTCAAGAGAAGGTTGACTTAAAAATCCTGAAAGGATGAGAAAGCTCAAGTTCCAAAGTGTGGTGTGTACCCTCTGGTGCTGTTCTAGAATCTGAGGGCATGTCCATAACTTGGGAGGCTTTTGGCTGAAGCTCAATCCCAGCCTCCACTGCTCTGTGGGCAGCAGGACCATTTGCTACACAGCAGCTGCTGCGTCTGGACTTGGGGCATGGAGGCAGCTGCAGGGTCTTGTGCAGACACGCAGGAAAGCCCCAGCTGAGTGAAACACATGTGGCATTGCAAGTGTGTGTGTACATACTCATCATACATGTATGAGTGGGTCAGATGGAGGGGAGGAGACAAAGGAAGATGCACCAGCACACAGCTGTTCAGTGACCTAGTGCCAAGGGAGTTTATACCCCTCACTGCTCATGTCATGGCAGTGTGCCTGCCCCAGATGCTGCCTAGTCCTTCAAGAAGTGTTCTGAAATAGTGCAGCTATTTCTCCAACCCCACTCCTCTGGCCATGCCTCGCTGTAGTCAGGTCTCAGCATTCTGAAGCGTTTCTGCTATTCCCTGTACTTCTTCCCTTAAAGCTATACAGAACTCCTCCCCAAGATTTTAAAGCAGATGATTCTCCCAAATTAACTTTATTGAATGGACCCAGATGTCTTCAAATGCACTGGTGTGCCAGGCAATCTATTTTTGGCATAGTTGTAAAGCCCGCCCTCTCTGGATCTAGGCCTTCTACTCTCACAAGGGATGCTTTCTATTTTTACTGGGTTCTAACATGCCATTTTTATACTGCAAAACACACAGCAAAACTGCCCCCTTCCTTGGTTTAATTCCAGACAGACAAATGTTTTTAGAGATTGCTTGACCCATTTTACCCCTTCTGGCACAATTGTAACCTCAACCTTCCAGACCCACAGTGGGGCTTGGCAAGGATGAGGGACCTCATGAGTGTATCCCCATCCTGGATAGGGAATGATGAGGAATTTATGCACAAAAGGAGCCTGTGGAGAACAATGTGGTGTTAGTGTGAATGTGAGTGAGATCTGGGTAAAAGCTCGCCACCCTGGGCTCTTCCTGTTAATGCCCATATGATTTTGAGGACTTCCCGTTTTCTTGGATTCAGTTCTCTCATTCACACAGTTCAGAGGCTGGATCCCCTGCTCTGCTGCCCAAAGCCCTTTCTCATGCCAAAAGTCCATTTTGGGTGAAAGATCTTTGCACATTCCCACTTTTCTCCTGACCTTGCTCAACACACTCTGTTCCCCTTGGTGAGGCTTGCACAGCTGGTCAGGAATTCTGTACAACCAACAATTACACAGCACCCATGAGGGAGGAACATAAAATAAATGCAATTCATGCCTCCACCAAATGGAAGCTAAAAAGGTCAATGGAAACCCACAAGTAGCAAAAGCGACTATAGGTTGAACATCTGTTATCCAAAATGCTTGGAAACAGAAGTGTTTCAGGTCTTGGAGCTGTTTTGATTTTGGAATATCTGCATCAACATATGAGATATCTTGGTGATGGGACCCAAACCTAAACATGAAATTCATTTATGTTTCATCTATACCTTATACATATACAAAAGCATATACATAGCCTGAAGGCAATTTTATGCAACATTTTAAATAATTTTGTGCACAAAACAAAGCTTCATGATGTGGTATTTTACACTTGTGGCAGATACTGGAACATTTTGGATTTCAGGTTTTCAGATTAGGGATGCTCAACTTGAATTATAAAGCAGGCTACAATGATGAGTGGAAACCACTGAAGGTAAGGGCAGATGGAGGAAGCACATTCTATGGGATGGGGACACCATGCAAGGGTCCCTAAGGACAGCTGAGTCCATATCAGAAGGGACAGGGCGTGAGCCTACCTGCAGTTCCTCAGGAAAGTGCTTTTCTTCTGGCAACTTCCCCACTTCCGGCACAGTTGTTAGGAACAGAAACTCCTGTTTGGCACTGTACCCTGGAAGACAAAAAGGTAAGAAAGATGTCTTCTCATGGAGCAATAGGCAAGTAGATGGATGGGACAGAATGGGGACCCAGGAAAGGATCCACACAACATCCAAATGACCTTTGACAAAAGTGCAAAAGCAACTCAACCAGAGGAGGACAGCCTTTTCAAGATGGAGCTGGAGCAACTGGACACTTACAGACAAGAGAAAAACCTTTATCTAAACCTCACCTCATTAAAAAATGAACTCAGTAATAAAGGGGTAAAGTTGATCACAGTACATAATTTACATGTATGGAAATATCATAATGAAAACCCTTTGTATAATTAATGTACACTAATAAAAATGTTGATAAAAAGGAACCCAAAATACATCATAGACTTAATTGAAAAACACAGAGCCACAAAAGTTTTTAAAAACACCAGAGGAGAAAATCTGGAGAAACGGAAATGAAAGGACCATCGGAGCTAGCAGCAAGTTGGACAAATCTACAGGGGATTGTGTCAAGTGAAAAAAGCCAAAGAGGTCATATACTACACATTCCTGAAATGGCAAAGTTAGGAGAAGAGAACAGAATAGTGGTTGTCAGGGCTCAAGAGAGGGAGGTAGATGTGGTTAAAAAAGGCAACATGGTCGGGCATGGCAGTGCCGGTAACCCAGCCAGCACTCCAGAGGCTGAGGCAGGAGGACAGAGTTTGAGGCCAGCCTAGGTCTTTATAAAGACCCGGTCTCAACAAAGTAAACAAAACAAAACAAAGAGAAAGATAACATGATGGCTCTTCATGGGGATGGAAATATCCTGCATTCTGCCTCGATCCACGTGTACTACGCTGTAGCTTTGCAAGATACTTACTTAGGGAAACTGAGTAAAAGGAACCCAGGATCCCTCTGTGTTATTTCTTACAGCTGCAAGTCACTCACAATGATTCCAAGTAAAAAGTTTAATTTACAAAAAATGAAAATCAGCAGTCACGTTAGTGCTTTTACACGATTCTAAGAAATCAGACTAGAGGAATCTTACAAAGTGCTCATTGCAAGCGCCACTTTTGGGGTAGAATTCAAAGATAATTTTCAGCTTTCTGCAAAGAAATGCTTACTTTTTGAAATTTTTCAAAGCCTCATAATTATAAATAAAAAGCAAGTATATAAAACTTGATTATACAAAAACATATTAAATCACTTAAAACAATCTAAACCCCTCCTCTTGAGTCATTACCACACTGCCTGCTGCACTGCCACCAGTCTGCCCCAGTCTGCTGTTAAACACCCTCCCTCAAAATGGGCACCCCACCTGTTCATTTTCCTTCCTCCCTACACAGCAAGAAGGCAACCCCCTACCAGTGTCCTGACTGCAACTGCACTCCTACCCGCCCATCCCCAAACTCCATAGTGACTGCATTTCCATGCAATCTCTTTGCACTATAAACTTTTTTCCTTTTTATCTCTGTGTTCGAGTGAAAATTAAACCTAGCCAGAGCTGTGTGCAGGAGCTGTTCTGAACCTGCAATTAGGACAAAGAGCATAATGCCCACAGGACAAGTGGATAGAAGTGTGAGAGCCTCTGGCCCCCAGTGCACCTGACCACACTCCAGGGGCTCTGAGACCAAAGATGGCCCAACCTCCACCACCTCAACCTGTCACCTTTGAACACTGACATGCTAGATAGGTTCTGCAGAAACCTAGGCTTCCTTAATAACATTTTGGATAGGGAAATATATCCTGAATTCAACCAGATTCAGATAAAGCCAACAGCACAGCTTACATTTGGTTTCTTTTTCCATCACCAGTCATTTCCAGCAGATGCCACCATCCCCATTGGAACCAGAGGCTCCTCTCTACCTTGCCCCTCAGGAGCAAGTCTCTAGGTTCAGGGTAGAGGATTCTATCCTCAAGATATGCCAGGTATCTTCGTGTCTTAGCTTACTTTTGTTGTAGTCATATGTTAATAATTTTGTTCAAAATGTCTAAATTCACCAAGTGAAGTACTGCTTTATTTTTCAAGAAGCAATCATGACCCTTGGTCTCACTAAGGACACTGTGTATATATTTAGTCTCACAACCTCACGACTCCATCCCTTGTACATGCTGGGTCAGGGCATGGAGACATTCAAGTCCCTAGCTCTGTCCTCAAGCAGAGGACTTACTAGTGAATTGAGGGACTGGAAGAGGAAGTCAGACAGAAGAGAAAAGAAAAATCAGTGTCTACAGACATATCAGACCTACATGATGCCATATTTCACTTTATGTACATCAAATAGCCATCACAGGGCAAGATTTATTTTCCCGTAATAAAGTCTAGCTACAACACCTGATCCTAGTTCAATATGACATGAAATTTGCTGAGGATAAATCCTGCAAAAAATGCCATTGTGGTTCCATAGCTCAGTTGAAAGGGAAACCACTGCAGCATCAAAAAAATGGCAAGTCTTGCTTTTAACAGCAAACAGACAAATGTACCCTTGCTCTTGGCTTGAGTGGCAGGGCAGTCATGAAGAACAGGCATATGTGACAAAAACACATGCATTTACTGGCTGAGATTCTAGACCAGGGATCCTTTTTCCAGAGGACAGAACTACAAGGAGCAGCTCCAGAATACCTGAGTTACCCAAGCCCTGTGAACACCAAGATCCATTATAGGAAATGGAACTTCACCATGGCAGACACCACTGTGTTATAAGTTATTTCTTCACAATGATACTTTACACAGGGCTTTCAGTTCAAAAGCAAAAACACTGTGAACATGTGTGAAATAAAGACCAGCAGCACATGAAAAATCCACAATGGTCACATATCTACAAACTTCTTCAGTTTCCTGATCCACCAGTGGGTCAAGAAGTAGGCCACAAGGCCACCCCAAATGTCAGAGGGCAGAAGTGCCTCCTACCACTTGCTTTCTGAGGAGACCTGGTAAGCTCCATTCACTAAACCAGTGCTTGGGGGGCAGGGCACCATGTGAGAGGTGCCCATGCCACCCCTAGCCCAGGAGGAGGCACTGAGTCCTTCACTTCTCCTGGATACCTGACCTAGGCTTCATCATCCAGAATGTCAAGATGCCCTGCAGACTGGCTTTACCACCCCGATCAGAGAAGGAGCTCTTGGAAAAGGTGAGCACAGCACCTTTGCTGTGCAGTGTTTCGTGTATCCTCCCACCACTGGCGGTGCTCAGAGCTCAACCAACAGACATCCACCTTGTGACCCAATATATTTAACTGTTTGAGACAAGACAGGCTGGAATGAGTCCTGCCAACTACCCACTGTTTCAGCAACTTGACAGCAAAGGGTCCTTACCTGCTCAAGTATGTAAGTAATACCATCCTCACCTGAACTCTGCCTTGGGGAAAAGAGAGTGGGCCTGATTGTGCACTGGCTCTGAAGCCACCCAGAAGTAGGCCACAAGGTCACTCCAAATGTCAGAGGGCAGAGGAAGTGCCTCCTACTACTTGCCTTTAGGGAGACTGGTGGAGATGTTTGGTGAGTTACTTGGTGAGCTGGCTAAGAACAACCACAGACTCTTTCTCCAGGTTAAAACCTGAAAGCATGCCATCTTTCTTCACGGCTTTTACCTTCAATGTCTTACAATTTTGTTCCCCTTCCCAAAACACCCTCAAGCATGTATGCTTTTCTGAGATCATCTGTCATAAAACTTGCCATATTTCAGCAGAATGACACCCTGTTTATCAGACCCACTGGGATATGAGGTGTTATTTAAAAGCTCTGCTGCCAGAGAATATTGAAAAACAGAACACACATTTTACTATTTTCTTTTTTTGAGATAGGGTCTCATTATGTTGCCCAGATTACCTCAAACCCACTGGCTCACGTGATCCTACAGCCTCAGCCTCCTGCATAGCTGGGACTACAGGCACAAACCACTATGCCCAGATTATCTAGCTATCATTGATGGAAGCCTCACTAAAATATTCTGCACACAATCCTGTTTTTTGTTTTTTTACGTACAACAAATCACAATTTAATCTTGTGACCTTCCCTCCAGTGTCTTCCTTACTGGAGGTGACATTTAAGAGAACCACAAGTAGCCTCTGTTCTCACTCTCAGCAGCACTGTGTTTCTCTTTCAATTTTCCAACTGTTCTGCATTTGTGGTTCTCAACTGGACCCACTCCTGGAGATTCCTGCAGGAGAAAGCAGAAAACTCACAAAGTCCTACAGGGAAATCTCAAGTGCCCTCAGATGAGAACCTCTTAGTTCTCATGAGGGGTCACCATTATTGGTGGCATGTGACAGTGCTGAAGCTGCTGCAAAAATCCCACACACTACACAGTGAGGTCACTGTCTCAAATTTCAACTGCCCTCCAAGATTCAACTCTTGATCTTCTGATCCCAGTCCCTGGTGAAAGCTGTGATGCCTCTGGCCATCTGATACAGCGGGTACAGCACCACTTTGCAAGGCTGTGTAGACCTTCCTCCCGAGGGCTCCTGGAAGATGAGAGTGGAACTTTTGAAGAAGGCCAGAGCTATGTGCCTGATAACTATCCCTGAGTACAAACATGGAGCTTCCCTCTTTTCTCTGCAGATCTACCTTCCAGCCTTGTTCCTCCATAAGCAGTTTGAGCAGAGAGAATGAGGAGGAGATGTGGGCACTGGGTGGCCCTCAGCACAACCAGAAGCTCTTCAGGATGTAGCCTGCAACTCATGGTCACACAGATGGCCACCTGGAGTAAATCAGGGAAATTGCTGGTGTGGATATGTTTGTAATGCACTGCCAATAGCAGGAGGATGCACAAACTTCTGCTTAAGGTAAAGATGCTGTGCTCACCCCCGCTCCTGGTTCCCAAGAGCTCTCTCTCTGGCTGGGGTGGTCAAGCCAATCTGCAGCCACTAATGAGTCATTCCTACATCTCCTGTGAGCCTGGCCTCCCAGGCTCATTCACTTGGCCCAGGGAGGGAATGGTCACAGTGGTGAAGAGAACATCACACACCTTCTAGCCCACACCCAGTGCTTCACAGATCAGTGACACTCCCGGGAGGCTCCCAGAGCAGGGAGTGTGTCCCTTTTGTAGATGAAACATTGAGGCTTAAGTGAGCAAATGACAAGAAGACAAAGTAGAATCTGGTGTTTAGACATCCTCATCTGAATGCCCATATTCAGCAAAGGGGAGTTAAAAATCCTCCAGGACAATCTGACAATATATATTTAAATGACCCTCGTCCCACTGCACTGAAGGTGACCTTCAAACATGAGCCAACAATGCAGAACACCAGCTGGCACACAGACATGCTAAGCAATCATGGCTATGTTTCTCATGATGACATGAAACAGAGAGAATTTCCAAACTGGAATGCCTTTCTGGCAGTCAGTGGTGCTGGCTTTGGCCACAAAGAAAGAGCCTTCTCACTCTAGGGAAGGGGCTTGGGGAAAGTCTTCACCCCTTCCCACTTCCGTCTCCCAGCTCTGTGCCTTGAAAGATTTGGAATCCATGTAGCCTCCAGTCCTGGGATAGAAGTCACTTGTGTGTGTCCTTGGAAACTGTTACAACAAGGACTCAATTTAGCCAAAATTTGTTCTGCCCAAGTGTACTTACCATCTGGGTCTTTAAAGGTCAATGTGATGAATTTGCTGGCCACCATGAACATGAAAATAACCCAAAAGCATGCGGCCAACAGAAGCCACTGGTGGTGCATGTTGTCAAACGTCAGCCATTCAATGAGGCTTCCTGGAAAACACAAGTGAGATGCCTCTGCCACTTACAAGTCCATCAATCAAGCAACACATAAAAAAGAACAGGTGATTTCAATTAATAGAACCAATATAAATAGGTACATTTTTTCACTTTGCTCCAATGGGTATTTTGACTTGACATTTAATTTAACATTTTGTATTTAATTATAATATTGAAGAACCTATTTAATAATTAAATCAATTTAAAACACCCTAATGGAGGATAGCGATAATGAGAATTCCACCCTGCTTTCTTTTGGAAGCTGGGATAAAATTTTGCTGTTGTAGAGCAAGGCCAGTGTCACAATGAGCTCCCAAGAGAGCCTGGAAGCAGACAGCGACCAGGAAGTCTGCCAAGGACTAGACCTTTGCTGGGGGGGAGTTTGCAAAGGGCAGAAGCTGTGCTGAAGCAATTATGAGCAGGCTGTGTTTGAAATGCAAACTGGCTGACAAGGTATAGCCACAAAAATAAACACCTGGGCTTCTTGCCTTGGGTCACTTGTTTGAGAGGGCTTGCACAGAATCTTGGGAGTGGATGCTCCTCATACTGTCACAACTGGGAGTAAAGTGGGGCTCAGTCAATCCTCAGCCTGTCACAGAAGTTACTCTCCACTGTAGGGAAACATAAAGAACCAGGAAGTCACTGTCAATTCAGTAAGAGGGACAAACAAGTATCTCACTTTAACACCACATGTCTTCGAGTCAGATCAGACCATCTAAAGGGAACCCACTGGGCTATCTGGTGTCTACCAGTGGCTGAGGCCAGCTATTACTTCTGGACAGAGATCCGGTCCTCAGCACATGCTGATGGCTGATGATTTCAGAAACACCTTATTGACTTTCATGGTCAGAGCTCAGCAAGGACCTAGGAAGATAATAATCCTCCCTTTTCCCGCAATGCTTATGTCCTAGAATCTCACCAGGCATCTGAAACCTGAATTCCTTCCACACCACCTACCTAGCAGTTCTCTGGCCCCCACCTGAAAACCTGTGACAGGAAGCTTGCCACACACCAAGCTGCCTGTACTATTACAGGGTGTCTTGTGAGCCACACTCTGATGCCCACACATTAGACCCAGCGTCTCCTGGAGTCCCCAGTTAAGGTTTCCATATTAAACCAATAAAGACAGGATTCCAGGAAATATTACTCTGTGCAGAGATATTAGGCCCAGTATGTATTCAAGTAGGGTTGCCAGATTAAACAAATAAAAATATGCGACACCCAGTTTTTTGGTTTTTAAAAAATTTTTTATTATTCACATGTGCATACATTGTTTGGGTCATTTCTCCCCCCTGCCCCCCTCCCCCACCCTCTCCCCTCATCCCCCCTAAGTTTAAGTTTTAAGTAAACAACATATCATTTCTCAGTATAGCTATGACTCAAACACTGCATGGGATATACTTACACAGAAAAAGCTATTTGTTGCTTTCTGAAATTCAAATTTAAGCATCTTATAGCTTATCTGGCAAAATTAGCCAGCAAGAGTTCTACCACAATTCCCTAACTGCCTGAAGACTGCTGTCCTGTCTCCAGATGGTCTTTTAAGCTTCCTTCTTCCCCTAGTCCTTGTTGGGGGTAGCACAGTATAAAGGGGAGAGTCTTAGCTTTGGTTCAAATCCCAGTTACACCACTTGCTACCTCTGGACTTGGCCTCCAGGTCCCATCTCTTATCCAAGGCCTTTGTCCCACCAGGGTGATGAGGATGAAATGAGATGATGTAGGAAAAGAACCAGAACCCAAAAGGAAACCTAAAACTTGACTGTGGTTGATGTGTTCACTATAGAGGAGTGAATAAAGTAATCTTAAACTGGCAGAGGCTACTATGGGAAGGGGGCGGGGAAGTAGCAAAGAGGTCTGGTAGAGATGAACCAATGTGGGTTACAGTACACAAGTGCATGGAAGCAATGCTAGGAATCTCTCTGTATAGCTATCTTTATTCCAAACTAGCAAAAATGCTATGTCTTTATTATCTCTTATGTTTTCTCTTCAACAAAATCAGAGAACAAGAGGGTGGAACAGGTTCTGCCCAGCAGTTGGGTGGGTTGAGGAGGAAGAGGGGAGGGGGGAGGTGACACAAACAATATATATACATGTAAGTAAATATAGAAATAAAATAAAAGGAGGGGGGGGAAAAGAACTAGAACCCACTAGCCTATGGCAGACCCTCAGTGAACTAGGTTGACCAGTCCTCGGCACCTTTTGTGACTTTCTAGTTTAAGCTATATATCCTTCTAGCATGGTAGACGGAAATGAACACAGCTGCATGATCTTCCCCAAAAAAGGGAAAAGAAAGGACAGGTGTTCATCTCAGGTGACTACTCACTTTTCCCTTCTAAAGACAATGTGCTCAGAGAGCCCTATGCCCTGCAGTCCTGAGTCCTGAACTTGTCCTCAAGACAGTGATACTTGGACCCATCCCCGTGGGTCACAGGGCTAGTGCCCCACTGAGAAACCCTGGCTGCAGTCCTTTTCCAGCAAAGGTGCCAGTGTTGTTGGGGAGGAGCAATAAAAACAGAGACGACAGCCTGGGCCTGGCAACCCACACTCTCCTGGGATATGTGCTGTAGACAAGTGAACATGTAAGAGGGGGCTGGTCAGGGTTGTGTGTGTGTGTGTGTGTCCTGCTCACATGCAGACATGCTTGCTCTGAAGAACAGGTAAAGGGGACTTTGGCCACTGCCCACTCTGTCACATGCTTTGTTTGCTGCTTATTCTACTATCTTGGTCCTTGAGCACCCTTGCCTGGCTCATGGGAGGTTTTATAGTTAAAAATCTAATTTTCTCAATGGGAACTAGATCTAACTTGATTCTGCCCACAGAGCTCACCCCTAGATGAAGGAAGAAGATGATAAATAAATAGCCTCACCTGACAATAAACAACCTCACCTGAACTGCCCATCGCCTCATTCACACTCTAGGAAGCCAGGTGGTATAGGGAGCAGGCGATCCACATCTAGGCTGGCTAGAACACACACAGGGACAGCAGTTACAGAAGGAGGTGAGGGGCAGGGTTCCAGGCCACAGGACAGGTCCATGAGTTTCAAGGCATAGTCAGAAATGGGGTCAGACAACATGAAAACTTAAGAGAGCTGTTATGGAATTCATTCTCCTCCTTGCATGCAGTGGAAAGCCACTTAAGAGTATTTAACAGAAGAGGGGAGTGAGCATGTGATATGACTTTAAGTTTGATTTAAATTTCTCTGGCAGCAGAGTCAAAGATGCAAAGAGCAAATGTTGAGTCAGCAATGGGCCATTTTCATTCCTGGAGGAGGAATCAATCCATTCAGGCATAAGCAAACCTGGCTGGGAGCTCCATGCCCCCACATCATTGCTCATGTCTCTAAAAACCAGTGAAGGAACTAGGGAGATCCACAGTATCTTATATGTTGGGTTTTGATGAATCTGAAGAGGGGTGTATCCAGAGAACTGTGGTGTGACTTGCTTTGAGATTACACACCTCTGAATCTCAATATCTACCTCATGGTGTCTGACTTTATGTTAGGAGCCCTGACTGTATGATAGAATCACCTGGAGAGCTTTTGAGAGATAGCAATGCCTTGGTCCCCAAAAAAGCCCAGCTAAGACAACCTGAATCTCTGCAGGTGGCATCCAGGCAAGTTTTATAAGCTCTGCCTAAGACTCCAGAGCAGCCCTGACTGGGAGCTGCTAGTCCAAGAGGCCCCCTGCTTGACAAGTTTTAATGCCCACACAATCCACTGGGAATCTAATTAAAATGCAGATTCTGGACATTCCAGCATAATAGCTACTCTCCCACCACCACTTTCCTTTTCCAAAGGAGGACTGGCAGCAAAAGCTTATCTAGCCAGCAGTCTATTGATGCCCTGAATTACATGTGTTCTGAATAAGCAGTTTAGAGAGGTTTCAACAGAATCTAAGACCTTCCATCACTGTCCCCATTTCACTCTTTTCCAGCTCTTCCATCTATGGACAACTAGATTCTGTACAACTAGGATTTGTCTGACATTGGGAAAAAAACAAACAAACAAAAACAGGACAATTTGCCCCACTTTCTAAACAAAATGAAAGGCACTGCAAATTCACTTAGCCCCAGCTCCTTTAAGCCTGCCCCATTCTCCACACTGCATCCCTTCAAGAGACCTGACACACAGAGTCCTTTCTCCAGGGTTCTGCTACAGGCTGCTGCTCTCCCCATAGCCAGGTGACAAATGGCCTTTAAAAAGCCTGACATTTTCTGTAATTAACTCCCCTTTGTTCAAGGATCGAAGACAACTCCCAACATGCCATTTGCAGATAATGTGTGCTTGCATCCCCCTGGCTGCTGTGCATCTTCAAGCTTTCTTACTTCTAGTCATTACATGGGATTTTCACATGTCAGGATTTGAAAATCCACAGACCCTGCTTACTGGGGAAAGTAGGGTCAGGGAAGCAAGAACACAAATGAACCTACAAGAAGTCTTAATCTCTTTTCTCTCTTAAACAAAAGAAAAATGGCACACATTTGATATGTTTGTAATTTTTAACAATGGCTATGGTACAAATCCTCCCTTCCCCGAATTTTGAAAAAATGCTTGATAGTCAGGTGTGGTGGTACGCACCTATAATACCAGCACTTGGGAGGCAGAAAGATGGCAAATTTGAGGCCAGCCTGGACAACATAGCAAGACCTTGACTCAAAAAAAATATATAAGAAAAAAGAAACAGACATCTATAAATATAAATTTATTTTTCTCAGCTACAAATAACACACCTGCTAATAGCTTATTTTTTGAATTGCCATCCAAAGGCACATAGCCCTTCTTACTGGGCCATGGTACCTAACGTGCTCTGCCTTTAAAGTCACGTTGCTTTGGTAAAGGCTCTCAAAAGCCTGTGGTAAACAAGCCCATTGAATCCATTCATTTGGCAATATTCACCTGTGCCTCCTCTGAGCCAGGGGCTGTCCTAGCCCGCAGGACACAGCAGCACATATTCCCTGCTCTCTGTGCTTCATTCTAATAGAATAATTGATGTGTACAATCACCTGTACCCAGGTAAAAGTGCCATGGTTAATACTAGAGAAGGGGAAGGAGATGAAGGCCATAGCTTCTGGGCCAGAATGGTGTTGAAAAGATGTGGAAAGAGGAAGGAAGCTGATATGGTTTAAATATGCCATATCCCCACAGGTGGATGTGTTGAACACTTGGTTCTAGCTGGTGGCCCTATTTTGGGAGGTGATGGAAACTTCAGGAGGTGGGTGCTCACTAGAGGAAATAGGTACAGGGGCATGTCCTTGGGACTCTATGTTGCCCTGGCCCCTTCCTAAAGCAAGCAAGAAAGAAAACAGTAAGAATATGGAATAGCCCAATTCAAATACCTGATGAGCTCACATTCTCCATCACAGATCTTCTGAGGCCTGGAAGGCTCATATTTCTGTGTTATATTTGCCTTCACTGAGGTTCTAGGCTCCTCTTGTCACTATATAAGATAATTCAAAAACAACAATGAGCATCATTAAAAAATAGGTCAACTTTTTGGCTTATACTTGGGAAGTAGTTAACTACTTTGATCTTAATTATATTTTGCAAAACAGGTCTCTTATAGAAGCAGGTAGCATTTGTATTTCTTAGTAAATGAGTAAATATTCTAAATGTACCATGAGAACTAGCTGTACAAAAGTCTCCCATGTAACTTAGTATGAAAAATGAAATATTTTTAGCAAAAATAATCAAATCCTAGTCTACCTGTTTTACAAGTTTGATATTGGGTAAACGATTACCAATTATTCCAATGTTTTCTGGATTTTGTTTCCCTTCAAGCTTTCGCACCTGCCAGATTCTAGATAAATGTTACATAGTGAATGAGTCTCTGGTAAGGAGTCAAGTTTATGGACCTACTAGTGTTAGCCGGCCAAATAAACATACAACTGCCTTTACTCTAAAAACTCAATGGAAAAATTAAAAGAAATTTCATGTTATGTGGCTTGAATATGCTGTAAATACTCTTACTCACATTTTCCCAGACCTGCATAACCTGAAACCTGCATTCTGTAAGGTGCCCCTGTCTTTCTAGATCTTTCCCACTTTTTTATTGTATAGCCTCCCCAAGCTTTCATAAATGATATGAATATAACTGTAAATGCCCCAGGATATTTATGAATTTTTTCCTTTCTCTGTAAGCCTTGCAAATACTCTTATTTTCATTTCAGTGAAGGAGAGAATTTTTCTCTCAGATATTTAAGGTTCTGTTCCTCAGGGTCAAGAGAAAAATGGAAAAAAAAAATCTTTCCATCTTGAAATTCCAATTCTGAGCTAAGACGACTATGTCCTAATTATTCTGGAGTGGGGGGATCATTTCTGTCTTTGTGACTTTCCTTTTTAATCCAGTCACCTGAAGAAAAAAAAAATGAAGTAGGTGGTTGATGACCAGCCAGCCAGAGCAAAACTGAGCTAATTTTAATAACATCTCAGACATTTCTAACTCTGGCAGTTAAAACTGGCCCATGCAATAGTCCAACTCTTCATGGCCCAAAGCCCAAGACTGGGTATTTCAGACAAATAAACCTTTATGGCAGTCCCACTGCTTAGCTAACCAGCCCCTGGCGTGCTGCTTCCTATTGACTGCCCGGCCCTTTCCTGCCTTTAGCAGACTTGAAGAACATAAAACAGACAGTTTTTGAAAAACCTGGTTCATCTTCCCAGCCAAAAGAGCAGGAATAAATTGATACTTCGACCTCCAACGCGGGACAGGCGTCTCTGCTGTGAAAGTCAGAGGCAGAGAGCACTGGCAGCCGGTTGGCAGGGATCAGGGATGTCCAACCTGCCTTCAGCGGGCGCCCCCCGTGCATTAGGGAAAGTGGCACAGGTTCCTTCTTCCTGCCCCCTCTCCGCAAGCTCCCTGGACCCAACGCAAAGCCTCAGCCAAGGATGAAAGAATAACTTATGGATGGTCCACGTACCAATAATTCCTCCCATCACAGCATCCCGCCCAAGGACGCCGCCTATTGCATAATTAAGTGATGAAGGCTTTACCCGAGAATCCCTCCAACTAGGGAGGTCCCTAAGTCGCCCAAACACGCTGGGATGTCGCCGGTTTTTCCGTCCACGCCAGGATGGAGGTCCTGGGCAGTGAGATCCAAGCCTTCCCGCGCGTCCCCGAGCTCACCCTCCACCGAGCGGGCGATCGCCAGGTCCTCGGCTCCTCGGGCCGCGAACCTCTGCTCCGGCCTCGCGGGCCTGCGGGCGAGCGCGTGGGGTCCTGGCGGCCCCTGAGCGCGGGAGGTCGGCCCCGCCCAGGCCTCAGCGCCGCCGCCCGCGGCCAGCTGGACCCAGGGATGTGGCGACCGCAGCGCCGGAAGGAGAAAAGCCGAGCCCCCGGCGCCGGCTCCGGGGGGCGAGGCCGTTACCGCCCACCGCGGCCCCGAGCGCCTGCCCAGTTCTGCCGCGCACGCCGCCGCCCGCGCGCGCCCCCGCCGCCGCTGGCTCCCGCTCGTGCGCGCGCGCGCGCGCAGGGGACGCAGGGAGTAGTGAGGTAGGCGGCAAGGAGAGATCTCCAGGACCCTGGTCCTGTGCCCGTGCCTGCAGACGCATCCCAAGCACATTCCTCCCGAGATTCGTGCAGAAAACACACCTGGTGTTGAAGAAGAAAAACCAAATCCCAAATTTAGAAAGAGGCAAAAAAAAAAAAAAAAAATTAAAATGGTAATTCAGTAATTGCTTCTTAAGAAATTTCAAACTTGGAAAAAGGCCAAATCGCCTGAGTTTGGTACTGCACAAGTCTGAATTCTTCCGTCGTTTCTTAACCCACAGGTCCAGAGTATCACAGGCACAGGGAGACCAGGAGGGTCTTAAGATTCCAGTCACGCTCAGGTTTCAGGGGGTATTGTTAAACTCAAGGCCAGTGTTACTGTATTCTAAGATGATCCTTACCCATTTGGTGCTGATAGGTTGCCTCACTTGTCCCTGTGTCCCTGGCTTGACTTGGGTAAGCACATTCTCAAGGACAGTCTGAAGTGGCACTGTGAGCTCAGCTCTGGTTCTTAGGAAAGCGCACCAAGAAAGCCCACCTGTATTTCCATCGTATCATGTTGGAGATTAAAGTTACCCCTAGTTTGGTTAACAGGTTTTTTCCTAAAACAGGAAGAGTATGCCCGTCCAGGAACATAACAGAAATAAATGCTTTAAAAACCTTTGAACCCACTTCGTAGGCCAGAGGCTGCAGGAACCATTTCTTTCCTTCCTGATACTCCTTTTGTGCTGCATTGTCTCCTGGGCAGAGGGCCCTGTTTAGTAGTCACCACGGAGGATGTTGCTCAATATGGAGTAAAATCTCAACTTCCTCTCTGGTTATGTATAAGGTAATCTGGGCTCTTTGGAGGAAGCCTGGATGACATGAAAGGGACTCAGACAAGGGTCTCCTGTGTTGCCTGGGGTAAGGCTAGGGAAGTCTCAGAGATAGAGACAGAGACTCTATTCAGTGTTCCCAGGTTCTTGTCATCCTCACAGAAAGAATTCAGAAAGACAAAGTAAGGGAGGAAGTTTTATTACAGAGCTAAAGTACACACACAAGACAGAGTGTGGGCTTGTCACGAGAGAGTCCTACTTCAGAGACTTTTCTTGGTGGGCTTTGTACTGAATATGGGGTGTGGTACAAAGTTACACAGGTTATTTTTTGACGAGGGTGATTGACAAGAAATATTCTGTTGTCTTGTCAGATGCAAGTTAGAAGGTCAGACATGACACTGCAGTTGAGGCTGTTTTTCTTTCAAAACAAAAATCCCAGTTAGATGGTTGTTGAGTCCACATAGATACTATACGGTTTATAGGTTATAATTTCCTAATTTTTTTACATTCCTTCTTGCTTTTCTTTAAGTTCTTCTCTTTTGCCTCTTCTTGCTCTCTGGTCAGTCCCTATCTCATGTAGTCCCCATCAGTCTTCATCTTCATTTCGAGCTGGTCCTCTACCTTCTCTCTCTGGGGCAGTTTGGGCATTCCCTTCTCCATGTCCTCCTGCTTGCACATAGGTTTGGTTCCAGCTTTGCTGTGACTTAGAGGTCTTATGTTAGGAGCTGGGGGCTCACCGTTCATTTCCTGTTTCTTCCTCCCCACTTACTGGAGTGGACTGGAGGGTGACTGCCAACAGGGAAGCCTGCTTCCTCATCTTTTTTATCTTTTCTCTGTTCTTAAGCCACATCTCTGTTTTTGAAAATGTTACAGTGGAAAAGGGTTTGCATTAGCACCCACAGCCAATTTTTTGAGTATTCTATAGATATTGGGAGCTTTCTGAGATATGATTAACAGGGGATTAACAAATGACAAGTGATAAAGGCCTGAAAGTTTGCAGCCCTAGAAAATTGTAATTTCTTAACCTGAAGAATACTAAGGCCTTAGGATTTTAGAGCCTTTCAGAGAAGTCAATCCCAAAAGCACTGAGGTTTTATAACCGCTGGTGAAGGTAAACTAGTTTTGTCTTAATCTAACTCAGTGTTTCTTAACCATATAACTACATGTCTAGTAAGCAGATAAAATAGATTTATGTATATATACACAGATCCATGCATGCATAAAATTTTCATCAAGGTTTCAAGGAGCCAGCTTTTTTGTTTTGGTTTGATTTGTTTTTTTTGTCATCCCTGTTGGTTTCCTCGTTAACCAGTAAATAGAATATTGTCAGGGATCACTGTTTTAATAGTTACCATCATGGTTTAAAGATGGCAAGGTGCTTCACTTGCTATCCCCCATTCAGAAAATGTTTGTTGAGAATTTTCTTTGGGTACTATGGTTGAAGTGAGAGATTTTGTTTTTCTTTGAAGATTTGAATGGATAATATACATGGAAGAAAAGCAATAAGTAAATTTGGATCTTAGGTGTGACACTGCATATTATTCAAGGTTTAAAGATCTAGACCACATGGATTTGGATCCTTATCATGAGCTGAAGTTCTTGGTGGAAGCTGCATCAGTATTAAACATCCTGCAGACTGCAGCTTTGGCTGATTTGATCCTGATTAGGGAGAGATGGAGTGTTGAAGATTGAGAGCCAGAATTATCTTAGTCCCTTTAGTATTCATTTTATTTCAATTTTGTATCTGACCTAACATCCTTGTGACTATTAGGTAATATTCTGAATATATTGCTGAGTTTAGCAGACCTCTGCTGACCACAAGACTATAACTTCTGAAATGTATAGGAGATATTTCCCTGCTTTGCTGTAGCCTGCCTACTCAATGCTCCCACCAATGTATTTATGGAATGACTTCATTTATGACTTTCTTTTGTTTTGTGTCTCTACATGGTCCTTCCACAGTGGAACCTGTCATCCAGGGCAACTTGAATCCATGTTCCCTGGCCATGGTAACTCACATTTGGTTCAGCATATCTTCTTACTTCCTTTAAAGCAGAGTTTATGTCTACATTATTCACCACAAATATGGAAAGTATTAGTTTTAGTCTTTAATATCAGGAGGATGGTTTCTAAGTGTGATACTGGGGCCCGTGAGGTTCTCCAAGATACTTTCTGGGAATCTGAAATGACAAAATGTTTTCATAAAATATGAGGATATTATTTGTCATCTTTACTGTTTATACATTGCTCTAACAGTATAAATGAAATGGTGGGTAAAACTGATGACACTTTGTAAGAGTCCCAGCAGTGGAACAAAACTGGATTAGCAGTCATTTTGCCGTTTGCCATCGTGCACTTGCAGTAAAAACAGATGTCCTCACCTAGCAGTGTGAGGCCCTGAATTCAAACCCTAGTACCGCCAAAAAAAAAAAAAAAAGAAGGAAGAAGGAGAAAAAGAAGAATGCCAAATTGATTGAAAATATTTAAACATTTCTTCCTATCTACTTATCTACATTTTTGACCAAAGTTATATATTACAACAGGCTAAACACAGACAGAGGTATATGAATCCTGCTTTTTTCTATTAAGCAAAACATTAAGGAAATTTGCAAAAAGGTAAAAAAAAAAAACCCACAATTTTGTTTTGGAAAACATAGCTATTTTATAACTTACAATGTGAATATTCATTTTAAAATAAATTAATAGATATTTTAGGTCGTTAGTTTTAATTTCTAATATTATAAGTATAAATGAATATAATTCAGGTTAACAAAAGCTCCTTAGGGGTTCTAGATCATTTTTAAGGTGTAAATGAATCCTCAAATCAAATGTTTGAGAATTGCTATTCTCAAAGAAACCCAAAATTTTAACAGTAAAAGAAAAAATATATACTAGACTCTTTTTTTTTTTTGGCATTTCTGGGGTTTGAGCTCAGGACCTCATGCTTGGGCACTCTCCCACTTGAGTCACTCCACCAGCCCTTTGATGAGCAAAGCTGGATATACCTGGATTGGAAGTGATACTGGCAAAGGTACAAGTTAACCGCCAGCCAAAATCTATTGCTGTTTCTTTTAGCCAAACCACGGTCCTTCCTGAAAGTGGGGATAAATGAAAAGATCCATCTAGAAAAACAAAGATGTCTTTCATGTGGGTGGGCAGGAAGGTCATGTGGAGAATCGTCCTCCCAACACAAGTAGGAATCTTCCAGGTCCTCTGAGTATCCTTTGTTATTAAAATTATATACTTTCTCCTTTTTCCTCCATTTCAGGTTAAGCATATATAGACCAGGGTACTTTAGGAATGGGGGCTAGAAACTTTGTTTTTCTTCTTGCCTATTCCTCAACTCCTAGTTGTGCCACAGAGAATCTTCTCTACTTTCCACATGCATTAGTCAGCTTTCCATCACTGTGACAAATGCTTTACATAAATCAACTTTCAAGGAGAAAATGTTTATTTTATCTCATGGTTTCTGAGGTTTCAATTCATGATTGTTTGGCTCTGTCACCTCTGGGCCTGTAGAAAGGCACTACATAATAGTGGGAGTCTGTGGTGGAGTGTCACTTCGTGTCAGCCAGGAAATAAAAAAGAAAGAAGAAGAGAAAGGAATAAAGTCCCAATATTCCTTTCAAGAGTACACCCACCCTCTCCCAATGATCTATGTTATCTTCACTAGACCCCACCTCCTAAAGGCTCCACTACACCCCAACAGTTCCATGGGCCTGGGCAAACCAAGCCTTTGGGGAGTGGGGGACATTCAAGATTCAAACTATAGTACCACATTAACCAGAAAAGAGGACAA